GCCTACACAGATGCCCCATCTCCGTGGTCAGGGCACTTCGTATTCATTTAGATCAGAATCCATCCAGTTCCCAGAGCAGTCAGACTCGCAGAGGGTGGGCAATTTCTGAGAACTGGCAGGGGATGAACCTGCTGCCCCGGGCTGGTAATCTCCATGCTGGGCTTCACACTGAGGGGATGAGTCTCACTTGACTGTGTCCTTGGATCAATTTGGACTCATTTAGCCCCCGAGCGGGCAGTGCACATGTCCCTTTCAGGAACTGAATCTTGGCTGTGATGTGCTGCCAACAGCGACCATTAGTCTGGTTCCCACAAGACCATTTGGGACACATTGGACCTGGGGACGTGCTCCCCCTGGCTCGGGTCACCTCTTCTCCCCGTGTCCCTCTATACCAGCCAGAGGAAACGGGAGCGGGAGGACGATGTCCCCACGCGACGGTATTTATAAAATTAGAGGCTCAGCGCGTGAAGCAGGCCTGTTTCTTTGGTCCAGTCCCTTAATGTCCTGCTGTTTCTGCAAATGAGCAGTAGAGACGGGGTGAGTGTCTCACTCGCTAAGCATCGAGCCCACTGCTCGACATGAGGATGTAGAAGGCCCCGTGTCGAGCACGTGGAGGGGACAGCGCAGCACGCAGGGGCGTTCTCAACGCGACGCCAAGCGGACGCGCTGGCAGACGGGTCCTTTTCTGGTCAGAAATAAAATGAGGCAGGAAAACAAAGAGACGGACCTGTGACCGCTTCTGGTCCTTCCTCCTCCCGTGTTCCATCGCACCGGCCGGAGGAAGTGGGGAGAGCAGGGAGCTCACTTAGTCGAGACAGATCACCCGGGAGTGAGCGTCGAGTTTCTGAGCTAAGACCAGGAAGGGAGGAGAAGCCACCTCAGGTTACTTTACCAGGCTTCTCGCTGTCGGTTTTGGCATGTTTAACCTTCAGATGGTAAAAGCATAAAACTTTACGAAGAGTCGTAGAATTACGACTCCAAATCTGTGTGTCCTACAGTGGGGGAGAGAGACGTGAGGGAGCCCTCACAGTCCTTTAGCCGAAACGTGCCGCCGTCCCAGAGCGCCCGCGCGAACACGGCGCCAGCACGGCCAGGCCGAGCCTGGGAAGCAGAGGCAGGGACTGTCTCATCCGTCTCGGCTGCCGAGCTGAGCAGCTGAGACCCTAAGATGTTATTCAAAGCCCAGAAGCAGGAGTCTCCCGGGATTGTCTGAACGGTAGCTAGACAAGAACTGAACAAATTCCAACTTGGGAAAAACACCTTCACCGGCCTCGACGTCCTGCTGGCCGTGCCGGCGTCTCGGGCACCTGCGCACAGCGTCCCTGCTCACGACGTACGTCTTCTTAAAGTCACAGTCCTGGCCCAGCCGGGCAGGAGAAACACACAGACCTTTCGAATGTGGGCTCACGGCGTGTCCCGTGTCCCCACCGTGGGGCAGCATCTCACAGCCTTGGCGAGGGGGCAGCGGGACGTGGGCGCAGTCTGCCGTGTGGCTGGGAGGACACGGCCCTCCCGAGGGGTCCTTGGGTCCTCGCTGCCTGCGGCTCGCGCCCCTCACGCTGTCCCCTTGTCCTGTCTCCCCTCTCGGTCTAGGCCGTCGCTGGAGGAGGCCGTGCAGTGGCGAGAGTCCCTGGACAAGCTCCTGCAGAATAACTGTGAGTGTGCGCAGCTCTTTGCACAGGTCAGCGGAGGCGGGGAGGTCAGAGGCCAGGACACCCCTGAACTGCCCGTGTCCCCCTTCCCCGGTTTTGACATTTCTTCGGTTTTCCAAAATGATCTCAACAAGGGATGGTACGAGGGGGTGTGGTGGAGAGAGGGGGGAGCGGGTGCCCCGAGGACTCGTGCCTACAGGTCGAGCCAGGGTGCATGGCTTGACCTGCACGGCAGCAGAGACTGTGCCTTTTGCAGCCGGCCTCAGTGGCTTGGTGACCGACCTGGCGGTGTACAGGTCCCTGCGTGGATAGGAGGTCTTAGTACAAGCTGTACTGATTGCTTTTGTCTCTGGCCCGGGTTGTGATGTCCCCAGCCTCGGGTTCCCCTTCTGGCAGGATGCCTTTTGTATCCCCATTCAAGATATGACAAACGTGCCAGCAAGTCCTTCCCACCTGGCACTACCTGCCTCCCCCTCCCCCACTGACCCCCAGGGCCTGCAGTGTCAAGGTCCAGTTCCCAGGGCATCAGGTTCTCCGCGAGACCCCGCGGCTGCTCCTTAGCCGCCTGCACTGCTCTCTGTCTCATGCGGGGTTTCTGCGTGGGACGCCTTTGGCAGGAGTGCTCTGCAGCCATGTCTCGATGTGTTGAAATTCTTCCTGCCAGAGCGAATCTAGATACCGGATGCCCGGTCTGCCCGGGCATCCTCCCTCGGAGCTTCCAGAGACGGACTTGTCTGCACGTCTGTCGTGGCACTTAATCCTTGCTGCTTGCTCTGCGCTCTCTTTGTCTTGGCTCCTGCAATGCATTATAAATTCACTGACATCCACGACTTCGTCTTTTTGATCTGGGTAATTTTTCAGCAAGAAGTGCACAGTATGGGGAAAACAAATATTTGTTGACTAGTTCACTCTAAAAATGATTCAGTTTAAGGTATGCAGCCTGTATTTCTCCATCCTCACTGCAAGACTGGTACGTGAAACTTTGTCAGATGCTTTGCAGAAATAAAGATGTAAAAGCTGTTTCTCACAGCACCATCATGATTCATGGGCACAGAGTAGGGAACAAAGAACGCGTGTTCATGTCATGTGTTCGTGCGCATTTCTGTGCCTCGTTTTCGGTGGGTTAGCTTCTGTTTACTTGCGATAGGATCAATGTCTTATATTCGGAGGCAGGACACCAAAGCCTCTAATTTGGAACTTGCCTAGTCTTATCCAATTTTGATTCTTTTTATTTTTTGTGTTAAACAGAGTACCCTGCCCTGACACATATAAAGTGTCCAATCAATGATTACTAACTTAATAGGTGATGAATGAATTCATTTTGCTTCTTGGACCCAAAATTCCATGAGGTCAACTAAGAGAAAAATGTTTTTGTTTATCAGTTGACTTCTTCATTGTCTTCCGCAGTTGTTTTGGGGGCGATAGCAACCTGGCAGGGGATGTCCTGATACCTTATGAACACTAAGTGCCTGGTCCAGGTATTTGTTGCCATCTGGTACCCAGGGCCACATGTTCTTGTGCTTCCGGCTTTTAGGGCCAGGAGCTACTGGGTAAGAAAGACGGGGGCAGCAGCAAAGCGGGGGCAGTTGTGGAGGCGCTGAAATCTTTCAGTTGCAAACAGGTGTGAACTTGAGGTCTGAGTCTAATATTTCCTGCTTCTCAGAAGAGAAAATGTATATGCATGTGTGTGTTTTTGTGTAAATACAGAGAATATTTCACTTAGTTGTATACTCAGTACGTATTATGTACATGTATGTGTGTCTGTGTACATATGTGTGTGTATAATCTTAAATTCTATGGAATTATCCTCTTAAGTAATATTTTTTAAACTTGGGCAGTTAATTTTCCCCAAGCAATGCATGGAAAAGCATTTGATCACTTACTCTTACAGTCGAAATTATTTCCTTGAAACAGTCTCCGTTCAGACTAGCGTGAGTACATCATGAGTAACTTTAAGCAGGTTTGGCAGCCCAGTTCTTATGAGATGTTCTTGTTTTAATCTGCTAAAACGCATGGTCTTGCATGAGCTGTGACATGCAAAGTAGGGAATGAAGACAGATACATTTGAGAAGTGTGTGCTTTTAAAACTACATCTCTTGCACGTTTGGTTTGATAAACCGTTTAAGTCCCATTGATTTATAAGGAACTCTTGGACTAGTGTAGGCTGTTGACTCAGAACTGATATAGTTCCCCAAGCGTTCCTTAAATCCTCTATTTTCTTGATTTTACTTGGGCGGAAATGATATCCGTTGGCCCCAAACCTCTAAAAACATAAGTCCACCGAGGTGCTCCATCTTCTGCAGCCGACACGTCTCCTCGCCTTCAGATCATTCCTGGGCGCCAGTGCGTTTGACTCTGTTCCGAAAGCACATCGATTTCTTCTGTTTCGTCTTCAGTGGGTGGCCCCATCTGTTTGCGTTGTCACGTAACCAGTGTTTGTTCTTTAAACACAGAAACAGATTGCACGTGGGAGTTTCAGTAAGAGAGTGACATCAACGTCCGCAGAGCCAGAGTGAGACACGACCCAGCAGAGGCGTTTGCGTGTGGCTCCTCTTCCCCAGCACTGCGAACTGTCGCAGGGTTCCCTTGAGATGCCCCAGAGGCCGAGCGGGCCACGGGGCCGGCCAGGCCCGGCTCCTCTGTCTGTGTCTGTCTTCCTTCTGCTCCGGCTCCTGTCTCTGGTTTCTGTTTCTCTCCCTGCTCTTTTCCGGGGCATCGTTGTCGTCATCTTAGGAGAAGCCGGTGTCTTTTGAAGCAGTGATGATAGCGAACGCGGCAGCCACGGGCCAGGCTGTCGCGGCACTCCGCATAACTTAATTGGACGGTCGCAGCGCTGTTAGAGCCCAACACAGGCACAGCCGTTGTTTCTCAGAGCGGCCAGCCAACATGCCCGAGTCTCCGTGTGACACGGTGGCAGGCCCACCCCGGGCAGCCCACTCCGGAGCCCGTGCTCGCATCCACGGGGCTGTGTCACGGACCTCAGCAGCCATGAGTGCCAGGCACTGTTTTTCCCCTAGGAGAAGAGATTTTTGCTGAGTTAGTTTTCATATGTTTCCTTTATACCAAACTGACTTGGATTTGTCTGACTCCCTTTTACTTCCGGAGTGGCGTTGCAGGCGCATTCAGTTTTGTTCTGTGGTCGGGCTGCTATTCTGTTTTGCATGGATGTCCCAGGTGACCTCAGTGACTGGGGCCGGCCCTGGGGTTACCGTGGGGGTCGCAGCCCAGAATGTTCCCGCTGGGCAGAGGGTCAGGGGCCCCTCTGCTCCCTCGTGGTGGATGCTGGATGAGAGCGTGGGGTTTGTCGGGAAGGTGCGCTGTGGAGTGGGCAGCGGGTGGGCCCGTCTGCCAAGGCAGAGTGTTCCTTGCAGAGAGTGACATTTGGCCTGGAGTCTCTTTGATTCTGACCCAAGAGAACTTCCCCAGAAGGCATGGGAAGTCAACAGAGAGCCTCTGAGGAACGGGCTGGTAGAAACTCTGTGAAGGTGGAGAAGTTTGGGGGGGCCACTTTCGCCCCGGTGAGGGACCCCTGAGAATTCTCTGAAGGCAGACGAGAGAAGGGACAGCGTCGCATGCGTTCCAGGCCCAGGGAGTGGAGGGAGCCTCGGCCTCAGGAGTGTGTGTGGACAGAAAGCCTCGGGTGACAGAGGGTAACGAAGCCAGTGCCAGGAGACGGACCCCGCCCTCAGCCAGCCGGCCGTTCCTCAGGGCGTCGGTGGCGTCCGGGAGGGCCGGACACTCTCCCTTGCAGAGGTGCGGACCGGGCGGCTCGCAGAGCTTGACAGGCGTGGGGATGTGGGGCTCATGACAGTCAACTGGCCACAGACGTGTGCCGCGCACTCGACTCCCGACTGGGCAGCGTGGCCGAGGCTTTATTCCTACGCCACTTCCTGGCAGCCGGAGGCACCTGGCGGCCCGCGTGGAGACGGCAGAGACGTAACCCCGGCGGAGAGGCGTTGCCTGATCCTCGTTCAGCACGTGTGCCGGCCCACGCCACCAGGTCACAGCCCACAGTGCTGGGACCACAGCAGGGAACGGGCGGGGGTGGGGACCGCATCCGATCTTATCCAGGGTCACACGTTCCCATGGCTTCGAAATAACTTTCCTTGCTAGGCTTCTAGAGGAACTTGCTCATCATATGACCGCTGGCCCCAGACGTATTTTTAGGTGGTGTCCAGTAAGAAATGTCCTTCGGCTACGCACAGGGACAGGGGATGAAAATGCAGTGTGACTCGTTTAAACACAGAAATCGCCGGGGACCCTCGTTCGGTCTCATCGTCGCGTAGGCGTTGTGCTTCTTCAGAGCTGATATGGTTGCCGGGGACTGTGTGGGACGCAGAGACAGTAAAACCGTGTGGACGGTAAATTGAAAAAAGGCCGCCACACGGTTTAACCGTCACATGGATTTGGGGCGTGTTGTATAAAATCGACGTACGAGGCCACGACCCCTGCTCGGACACTTACGCAGGGGACACATTGAGGGACAGAGAAACAGACTGAGATGCGGTCGAAGGGGGTGGAGTTGCACGTGACTATGTTCCCCAAGGGGAGCTGAGAGGTCACAGGAGTGTCGCCCGGCAGAGCAAGCGAGGGATCACTGGGCCCCGATGGGCCGGTGACAGTCCCTCCTCTGCCCTGGGAGGCAGAGGGACACGCCAGGCGTGTTACTGAGGGCAGGCCTGCAGCTAGACGGGTCTGTGGAAGACAAGAATCTTCTCTCCTCCCTTTAGAAACCTTCTGCCCCTAGATGATAGTGGACCGGGGTTCTCTGCCACTTCCCACTGGTGGCCTAAGGGCAGGTTACTCGACCTCTCTGACCTCGTTTTTAAAATAGGCTGTTACTAGCACCTGCCTCTTAGGTTTGTGATGAGAAGTAAATGAGTTAAAGTTTGTAAGGTTCTTACATAAGTGACGGAAATGCACAGTAAGCAAGCCTAGGGAACCCAGCAGGACATAGTGGTGGGTAGGGAGGTGGATGGGTGGTGGGTGGATAGATAGATGATAGACAGGTAGATAGATAGGTAGATAATAGATTATAGGTAAATGATAGGTGATTGATAGGTGGGGGAGAGATAAATTTCCTCAGCCAGGCCTTTTCCTTGCCAGATGGGCTTGCCAGCTTCAAAAGCTTCCTGAGGTCCGAGTTCAGTGAGGAGAACCTGGACTTCTGGATGGCCTGCGAGGACTACAAGAAGACCAAGTCGCCCGCCAAGATGGCTGAGAAGGCACAGAAGATTTACGAGGAGTTCATCCAGAGCGAGGCGCCTAAAGAGGTCCGTGCTGGGGGCTGGGCGGGGCAGCCCGGGGCCCCCTGTGGTCTGGGCGTGGGCCGCCTTTCTTAGACACCTGCCAGACGGGAGGGCAGAGCGGTGTGGCCGAGCCGCTGTGAGCGTGAGCCCCGCCTGGACCACGGTCTGGCAGTGGGGACGGTGCGTGCGAGTGACCTGGCGTGAGTTACTGCGTCTCTCCGAACTTAGTGTCTTGCTTTGGGAAAATGGGGCCAGTGAAGACAGTTCCGCAGGGGTGTGAGGATGGGAGTCACCAGCGGGCGCGAAACACATCTCGGGGTCTGAACTGAGGGTGCCTGGCGGGTCCCCCTGCCCTTTTCCTTCCTTCCTCTCCCCTCCCCTTCCTTCCCCCCTTCTTTGTTCATGAAAAGCCCCCTTTTTTCTCTGCTCCCCTCCGTCCGTTTTGTTTCCTCCAGGCCTTTGCCATTTATACCTTAGTTGGGACAACAGGGTACCTGCTCGTGAAAATCAGATTAGCACAAGACAACACCAGAGACGTTGGAAGGTGACATGCCCGAAGTGACGGCTAAGACAAGACGGGCGTCGATGTCAGGCAGCTCTGGGGCAGTGTTCTGCTCGTCGCTGTTTGTGAAAACCGAGGGTTTGTAGGGTTCGGGGTGACCACAGGGACACGGCCGTGGCATTTCGGCCAGGCCACTCTGCTTCCGGGGCGTGCCCCTCAGTGCAGTCCAGACATCATTGGGATTCGTAGCCGAGCACAGAAGGGGTCCGAGCAAGCCCCGTCTCCCGCTCCATAAGGTCCCTTTTCTCGCTCAGGCGCTCCAGACTCTTGGAGTTCCACTGTTCGGTATTGACCCCTTGGGTTATGAATCGCTCGTCACTGGTCCTTCTTAAAGGGCAGATCTTTTTGACGGATGGACTGTTTCCCTGACAGCCAAGCTCCCTCCGTGACAGAGGCGGGGGTCAGGAGCGCGGGTGTGTAGGGTGCTGTGGTCGAGGCAGCCGAGTCCTGGGGGAGACTGGGTTCGATCTGGCTGTGGACATTGATTTAGGGTCCTCTCCAGATGCCGCCTCTGCTTCTCCGCCTTCCACCTGTGCTCACCACCAACGTTCCCGGCTCTGACACTACCCTGCCGGGCCACCCTTCTGTCTGTGTACGATGTCACCAAGGAGACCTGTCCATGGTGAATGTGACACACGGTTCCTGACTCCGGCTGGATCCCCCAGTCCCCACCAACGTTGCCTTCTGCGGGCTCCGGGGTGCGTCACAGTGCGCTCATGTGGGGCCGTCCAGACTGGTCGGTGGCTCTGGGGTCCCGGAGAACGTGTTCTGCAGGCTCCTCGCTTGAACGCTGGTGGCATCGTGAAGCACGCGACGTTAACAGTGCAGTTTCAAAGTAGATAAAACCTTGGCTGAGCCCCCAGAGCAAGCCGGCCAGGGCCCCGTAGGACCTGTGGGCCCCAGGTAGACTGCCCGCCTCTGAGCCGGGCTCAGAGCGACCGTGCGTCCTGGTCCTGGCCGCCTTCCGCGAGCATCTGAGACACGCGGGTGCAGGCGTCCCGGCCCAGACCCTCCCAGATGCGTGTTGTCAGGCAGGCCTCTCACCGAAGCTCTCCGGCCCCGTCCCCGCCACTGTAAACCTCCCTCGTGCAGGAGCGTGTCCCAGAGTATGTTTCACATATGGTAGCTGTTATTGCTTTAAAAACCCTTCAGATCTTGTATTTTGACCTAATGTACTGTTTCATTGACGAGTAGCAGATTGACACATACAGCAGATTTACCCAGGCGAATAGGAGCGAAGTCTTCTTTCTCTGGATATGCAGGGCTGACGGAGACGTGGTGGAAAGGGTGGGAACTAAGGTTGGAAGGGGACGTGACCGTGCAGCTCAGTAGGGAGGTAACTCATACGTTGACGACTGTCATGCGGCTGTACTTCAAATCAGCGGGTCGGCGTTTTCCAGGCAGGCGTGTAGAGGATGACTCACTAGAGGTCTGGGCTCGTGAAATAGGGAGGCGAGCAGCTGTGTTCCCCGGTGGACACTGCGTGTTCGAGAGTTTTAAACGTATCGCGTTTTAGGAAAATGAGGTTAGGGCCAGTTCTGTCGTGTTTGGAGTTGCCGCCATGTGAGCAAGGCCACCACCTAGCTCACTCTCTGTCTCATGCGACGGAGTGTGGCAGGGAGCAGCCCGGGGCCTGGACGAGCCTGCAGCACAGCCTCTGCCCCCGCTCCACGGCTCCCCAGGGCCCTGTGGCCGCACGTCCTTCGCCTGCCCCTCTCTGCGGGGCGTGAAGCTCGACACCGCCGATGGCAGACCTTGCGACCGTGACACCTGGATTCGAAATCCGCGTCTGCGTCCAGATTCGCTCCCAGCTCTGTGACCTTGCGGGGCCACGTCACTGTTACGCCTCGACGCGCACAGTGCCCTCCCCCCACAGGGAGGCCGGTCCCTGGTCCCCTGTGCTCAGGGCTCGCACGTGTGGCAGTGGCCGAGGGTCTGCTCCGCACGGCCTGTCACTGGCTGGGTCTTGACCTGCGGCCTGAGCCCAGTGGGGCATCGGTGGCCCCCTGGGCCTCAGGGTGGGGCGGCAGCTGTCACCCTTCAAGGCTCTCCCACCGTGTGTCCGTGGGTGGGAAGGCCCACCTCTCCCCGACCCCCCGCAGGCTCCTGACCCCGTTCCTCGGCCCACAGGTGAACATCGACCACTGCACCAAGGACATCACCCTGAAGAACCTGGCGGAGCCTTCGCCCAGCAGCTTCGACGCGGCCCAGCAGAGGGTCCGAGCGCTGATGGAGAAGGACTCGCTGCCGCGCTTCGTCCGCTCCCCACATTTCCGCGAGCTGCTGGGCCACGGCCTGGCTGCGCCGTGAGGCCACCAGGAGCCGCGCCGGACCCCGACTCCCGACCCCGACCCCCGAGCCCGCCTCACCCGCCCCGTGCTTCGCTGGGACCCACGCAGGGCGGTCCGGCTGTCACTCCCCCGCTCTCGCAGCCCCTCCACCTGACCCCTCCCAGCTAAGCGCCTCTCAGTCAGCTGCCATCACCGCCCCCATCAGAATCACGGGAGCCTCTGCCTCAGGCGAGGAGACATTCCCGGTGCTGCCGCCTGCTGGGGTGTAGCTCAGGCCACGGTCTCCCAGGTTGGCCTGACCCGCGACACAGAGGGTACAGACGGGGCAGGCCAGCGTCACGGGCGATTAACCAGGCACGCTTGTTGCTTTGATTCGGGTCCTGGGTGGCGGTCACCCCCTCGTGACCTCTGACCTTGGGTGATAGGAGGCAGGGAGCGTTGTCTGAGGCTGCACCGTCTGGCTTGTTAGGCAGATGCGTTATGCGTTGTTTGAGGTACCGGTCTCCCCCTTGGGGCGTCTTCACGAAGGCTGGAGATTGCGAAGGAGACGTAGGATCGTGGTCTGTGTGAGCACAGTGACTTCTGGTCCCCCTCGCTCCGTCCTCGTCCCTCGCTCCGTCCTCGCCCCCCGCCCACGCCGCTGCTTGCTCTTTATGAAATCGTGCGCCGAGACCGACAGCAGATTGTTATAGGTGTGTCTGTGCCTCCAGCACGTAGGCCCAGAGTTTCCATTTTCAAATTATCTTCAATCCGTGTTGGGGTAAAATTCTAAATTTTTAACTCAAGTCATTGAAATCAGCTGCTGTCCACTGCAGTGTTCACTCGCCTGAAAATCAGGAGGGCCACATGCGAACATGATTCTGTCAGCCTAAGATAGTCATGATCCCGCGATGCCGTCTGTTCAGTAAATGACGATTATCTCACAAACCCCAAATTATCTTTGGAAAATTGACTGGACGGCTTGTAGGGGCTTTCTAAGTGAGGTGGAGTTTTAGAGGACCCTGCGTTTTTGCAAAATAGTGGGAGCTTTCGCTGCCCCCGCATCCCCCCCGTGTCAGGATTCAGACCAATGACCAAAGTGCACACTTGCACCCCAGCCTGCGCACATAGCCGGTGGGGAGGCCGTGGCCTTTCCATGGGTTTAGACTTTTAATTCTGTGTTTCACTTCGTAAGTCTTGCTAGAATTTTTTTCCTTCTCTTCAGTAGATTCAGTGAGTCACGACTTGGTCATAAGGGGAATCAGTGAGCTGTGTCAGGGGTCACCCCGGGCAGGTACGCAGTGAGCTGAGTAAGCGGTTTGACGGGGCCGATGAAATTCCGACACGTGGAAGTGGACTGCACCGTGCGGTGTGGCACGTCCCCCTTTTGCGGCCCTTGTCCATCCACGCGCACCTGGTTCCACACGTTCGTAGCCCGTTTACTCGATTATTTCCTGAAAACATGGGAAGTTAGGCGGCTGCGTAACTGCATTCTCCCGGCAGACACTGAGCGCGCCTGTCAGGCTTTTCCTATTTCTGTCATTTGGAAGCGGCATGCCCGTCCCGAACGCCTGCCTTTCCACGTCCTGAAATGGCTTGGAGTGACGGGCTTCATGGCCGACAGTTGCCTGTGTGGCATGAGTTCGTCGCTGTTTGTCAATACTGCTCGTTTCGAAGAAGCCCCGGCACCAAGTCATCACAGCTAGGCCAGGTCAGCTCTGCGGTCACAGAGTTCTCACCACCTGCATCTGTGAAAGTGTTTTTAAACTTGGAAGAAAAAAAAAGGAAAACTGTTACTATAAGTTCCCATGGTAACACAAAGAAAATACATCCTCATAATTCTGGGAAATTAGGAAATGTAGCATCATTTATCACTCTCCCCCCCACCCCACCCTTGGGTAGGTCGCCTGGGGCCGGGGACCCCGAGCACAGAGCCCGTGGCCCCACGGTATGCGCGTGTCCTCCCGTGTGGAAACGTGACAGCAGTGTACATGGCCTGGGACGTGGAGCGCTGTGGTCAGCGGGGCAGGAGTGGGGGCCTCTCCTCCTCGAGGGGGACCAAGGACTGAGCCAGGTGCCCATAGTCAGGTTGTTGCCTGCGCGTGACAAGTTTGGGGTTGGTGGCAGATCTGGGGCTGAGCTGGACTTGGATGAAGAGACAGACCGGCGAGTCCGGAGCAGATCAGGGTTCAGGTGGCGCTCGGCGGTGTGAACAGCCCTGCACACACATGCACACAGGCATGCTCATGTGCGCGCTTACACACGTGCACACACGCATGCTCATGTGCACACTTACACGCATGCACACATGCATGCTCGTGTGCGCTCACATGTACCCGTGTGTGTACACATGCACACACGTTCACACACCTGCACACTCACACACATGTGCACATACTCGCACACACACGTTTCCTTCCTCCCAGATAGACACTGAAATCCAGAACCCACTGGGGCGTTTCAGTAACTGCTTTCAAACCGGATGGTCTGCCGGGCGGCCCCGAGCCCACCGCCCCTGCTCTGCTGTGCGAATCGGCCTCTCGGTGGGTTCAGGTCCCAGTGAGCGACGAGAAGTCAGGGGAGGAAGCCGTTTTCACTGTCCTCTGCAAAGACGCGGGTTTTGCTTGGTGGGCGTGTCCTCTGAGTTAACAGCCGCCTCCCAAAGAACAGCAGCTGCCCACAGCCTCTGTCCAGACCTGACCATCGGCCAGCCCATCAGTGAACTAGTAAGCATCCCCAGGCAGGGCTCTGTCAAGCCGTCTGTCCCATCGCAGATGAGATAGCTGCAAATCCTTTAAAGGCTCTTGTTATGGTGTTTACCCCTGAAGCCCCTCCCTGCAGCAGGCCCCTGTCCGTTTCCTGGGAATTTAGCAGGTGTAGGAGAGAAGGAGTCATGAGGAAAGGAGGGAGGAAGGAGGGGAGGAAGTGGTGAGAGCCGGCGCCCAGCAGCTCGCTGGGGACACGTTACCGCCCGTGACCGAAAGCAGCCCCGTCTATTATGGCGTCCGGTCTCCCGGGCTCCATCCCACCAGGCAGGTGTGTCATTCACCTGCGCCTGGGACAAGGTTCTTGGTCAGCAGTTTAGCAACCGCTGCCCATGTGACACACACGTCCACCCCAGCAGGTCCTGGGGCCGACCAGAGCGGCGGCTGCCCAAGGACGGGCTCCCCGATGTCACTTACCTGGCTGGACACGAGCTCCTCCAGTGAGGACACACCTGCAGCTTTGAATGGACACTCAGGGCAGAGAGCGGAGGACAAAGAGCAGTCCCGAGACAGCTTTGCAATGTCATCCTCACCTCGCGGTTCGATAATAATCATCATCATCTTATTAGCTAGTAGAGAAGCTGCAAGTCAAACTCTCAACACCTATACCGGGTTCTTAAACTGCGTGCGAGTTACGCGTTTTCTCCCCGGAGCTGTCCCCACCTCCCCCGCACCCGACCCCCCTCGCACCTGTGCATTTCCCTCCACTTCCCTTCAGGGAAGCGTTTCACGAGTTTGGGTCCAACCGCGATTACGTAATAGCCGACGCTGAGCGCAGTCACCTACCTGGGAGACCGTCTAGGCGAAACAGTGGGAGATGCTGAGAAAGTTGTCACTGGAGAGTCAGCCACCTGGAGAGCATTTGCCAAAACTTCTTTTCAAGTCATAGCATCAGGATTTGTGGCAACTACATGTTTTTGAAATGCTGCGACTCGCAGCTCATCTTCAGGAGACAGGGCTCCGAGAAAGGAGGGGAAACGAGGGTTGGGAATCCAGTAGTCAGCTTGAGCCCATACACTGTGTTTATCTTCTGATATTGTATCCAGTAGGTTGTGTACTACGTGCCTCATACTTCTAGATAAAGCACCCAACACGTATTTGTAACCACGATCACATACATCGTATTAAATATGTACCACGAACAGCCTCGCGTGTCCTCCTTCTCCTGCACGTTCTTTGTGTGAAATTCTTCCTTTGGCCGTGCTCGCTGGTTCGCACTGGTGAGGCCCTGGTCATCTGGGGCAGCTCCTGTCCCACCAAGTGTCACCTGTGACAGAGCCAGCACACAAACTCCGAGAGGGAGCCGCGAGGGGCCTGTCGTCATGCCGTTGGCCACTTTCCCTTGGACTCAGGTGGCAATACCCGACTGACGTGGCCATCCACTGTTAGGACGACGGACACACGGTGTCACCTGGGTCCTGCGGGATCACCGCGCACCCCTCTCTCTCCCCACCTGCGTGGTGGGTCTCACACCCATGCCCTTGGGTTTGCTGCTCCGATGGACCAGGGAACGGGCTGAGATCTACAACAGGTGGGGGGTGCATGCAAGGAGAAGCTGGACAGGAGCAGGTTTATGGGGGCCGGGAGGTGCATGAAGAGTAGGTGGGGTACGGGGGGACCGCGGGGCTGTCCGTCGACAGGCGAGTGACCCACGCCCTTCCCGTCTGCTCACCTCAGATGAGCTGCTGAGCGTAGGTGGGGGGACCCCGATGAAGGAATCCCAATTTGGGGAATGGGGCTGGAGGGGACTGCGTGTGCCCAGACGGAAGTGCGTGTGGCCCCTCTCTGCAGGGGGCCCCTTCAGCGGGATGCCGGGGGGGGGGGCGCAGCACTCGGGCGCCATGTTGTTTTGCTCCTGACGGACTGTCAGCGTTTTCTGGCGGCATTTCTCGACCACCAGTTGCAAACTATCACTTGCAGTTCGTTCCACTCTGGCAAGCATTGTCTGTCATGTAAGGGTCCTCAGAGGGGTGACAGGGAACCTGGGACAGCTCGAGGCGGGGACACCACGCAGGGCGTGTTTAACGATCGGATCTCGAGGTTCTGTCTGAAACCTCTCCAGGCTCCTCACGGCCACCAGACAGACGAGAGGCTCAGGACACACGTGTCCCTTCACGATCCACTGAGTGACTGTCGCCTTTCACGGCCACGTACCCAGCCGGCCTCACGCCCCAAACGCACATGCGTCTTCCTGTCCTGGACCTCCCTTTGTCCCACCTGTAACTCTTACGCGTGTCTACAAATCAGCACGCAGACGTTCCCCAGGGAGAAGCGG